CAGAAAGAAGGTTTTAACAAAGATGAAAGCATAAATTAATGAATCAAAACTCTTAAAGGGTAATTACTAATAAATATTGAAGATGGACCTTTGGGGAAAGGCAATAGATCATATCATTAGCTAACTAATCTAATCAAGAAAAGTGGGAAAGGGGCAAGGGGCTGGGAAAAGCTCAGTTAAAATACTTGCCATGCAAGCATGAAGACCTGACTTTGATCCCTAGAATCCCCATAAGCTGGGCATGGTGGTGCCCGACTGTAATCAACAGGAGAAGCAGAAATAGGTGGACACCTAGGGTTTGCTGGTCAACTAGCCTAGCCTAATTAGCAAGTTCCAAGCAAGGGAGGGACCTGTCTCTAAAAACAAGGATTGCCTTGTGTAGTGGCGATCTTTGTGAGTTTGAGACCAGCCTGATCTACACAGCAAATTCTAGGCCAGCCAGGACTACATAGTAATACCCTGTCTCAAAAAACAAACGGCTGGGCTTGTTTAGCAAACACCTTGAATCCCTGCACTTGGGAGGCAGAGGCAGGTGGGTCTTTGTGAGATCAAGGCCAGCTGGGGCTACAGGGGGACCCTGTCTCAAAAAAAAAAACAAAAAAAACAAAAACCAAAACAACTCCCCAAAGCAAACAAAACCAAAGATCAACATCCAAGGCTGTTCTCTGGCCTTCACATACACAAATATGTACACACAGCAACACATACACACACACCAGACACAGAGATGCACACATACAGGTGCAGGTAAAGAACAGAGAATATATAACATAAGAAATATGGGTGAGTTACCACTTAAAAGAACTGAATTACTTTATTCAACCTCATGTAAATGAATTTGAAAACCTGGATTAAATAGTGTTTTTAGAGAAACATGATGTATTAAACTCATCCAAGGAACAACAGAATCAAAACAAACAATTATTAAAGGAAAATAGAGAACACTAAAAGGCTACCAGACTAGGCCGGTCATGGTGGCGCACACCTTTAATCCCAGCACTCGGGAGGCAGAGGCCAGCGGATCTCTGTGAGTTCAAGGCCAGCCTGTTCTACATAGTGAGTTCCAGGACAGCTGGGGCTACAGGGAGATCCTGTCTCAGAAAGACCGAAAAAAAAAAAAAAAAAAAAAAAAAGGCTACCAGCCTAGCCCAAATAAACACACTGACCCAGTTCTACGGTGGAATGAGCCAAGCTCTGAAGCACAGGCAATCCCAGTTCTATTAACATTGCCAAGTACAGGAAGAGTGAACGGCTGCAGATGGCAAGAGTCAAAAAAATTGTTCTAATGCCAAGATGGCAGCACACACCTGTAATCCTAGCACCCATTAGGCAAGGCAGGAAGGAGGATTTTTAGTTTGAGGTAGCCTGGGCTACAGAAGGAAGAAGGAAGGAAGGAAAGAAGTCAGGAGGCAAGCCAGCTTCACAGGAAGTACGAAGACTCAAATACCATCTTTCAAATTAAGTTGAAGCAAAACCCTAAAGAACATATCCAATCCTGAAAGAACATTTTAAAGAACTATTTCCTGTGACCAAGTGGGGTTCAACCAGGAATGCAAGGATAGTTCAACGTGAAGGACTCCATTAACATCATTAATTAAGACTAAAGGAAAGAACACATATGTTCATCTTCATAAATTGAAGTCATTTGGAAATGTTCCAACTCCCATTGTTGATTTGAAAACAAATAGGAATAGATGGAAACTTACTTAACCTGATCAAATAACCCAGTCCCCAAAGCCAGTATTTCCTTAGTGGGGAACTCTTAACATTGCAAAGCAGGAACACCGATCATAGTCACTATAAATCTCATTGCTCCCAGGATGAAGGCCAACTCCATTAAACAAAACAAAGAAATCAAGGTCTAAAACAAAGTAGGAGGGCATGATGCTGCACACCCGTAATCCCAGGTCAAGGTCTAGAGGTCAAGGCAGAGAATAAAGAGTTTAAGGTCACCCTCAGTTACATAGCAAGTTTGAAGCCAGCCTGGACTACATGAGATCAGTCTCAAAAAATGAGGTGAACATTCATTTTCAATGATAACTGCAAAATTCAACAGACTAAATTGGAAAACTGTGATTAACAACAACAACAAAGAATTCAGAGGGGTGGCAGGGGTTAACAGCTTTCATAGAAACAACCCCCACTTAATGTGAGAAGATCATCGAAAAAGCTCTACTATGTAGAAGTAAGCCTAACCAAAACATACAAGATCTAAATGAAATGAATGGTAAGACATACCTACGGGACACAAAAGAGATTCTGAACAGACAGGCAAGTCACATTCCTGGAGGGAAAAGCGGCATTACAAAAATGCCATTTCTTTACTGCTCCTTCTGTAAGTGTATGTAGTCCCAGCAAAAACACACGTTTTATCTAAGTAAGTAGATTTCACAGTTCAGACACCAAAATAAACAAGACAGTTAAGGGAACTTGGAGAGGACTAATAACAAGATGCTCCACTGAATATTGAAAATGCATTATATACAGGCTGCAGTTCAGCTGACCCCAGAAAAACATGCAGGATGAAAGCCAGCCACGATGGGCTGGCAAGATAGTTCACAGGAGGTAAAGGTGCTTGTCACCAAGCCTGATGACCGAGGTCAATCCCTGGCTTCCACTTGGTGGAAAGAGAGAACTGGTTCCTGCCAGTTGTCCTCTGATCTCCACTTGTCCAACATAGCACATGTGCACCGCCCCCATAAACATGTAATTATAAAAAAAAGGAAAGTCACTAAAGGTCACATATGGTATGAACCACTGAAAGTGGAGTTGGGCTTTCTCTACAGAGGAAGAGGGTGGAGGGAGAAAGGGCATCTGCCGTCCAGTAGAGGCTTCGTTTTGTTATATTCACTCTAAAATGGACTGTGGTCTTCTAGCTTTCTGGGAGTACACTAAGAAACTGCTGGACTGAACACGTCTGATGCGTAAATGCTGTAAATTATATGCCAAAAAAATCCCACCACACTTTCTAACACTGCAACAGTTAAACAGGGCCAGCTGTAACAGTGCAGGCCTGCAAACCTAGCACTTGCCTCGAGGCAGGGGGGATCAGGAGGTCAAGGTCATCCTTGGTTACAGAGCGAATTCAAGGCTAGCCTGGGCTACAATGAGACCCTGCCTCAAAATACTGAAACAAAGCCAGAGAGACAGAGACAAAGAGACAGGAGAATAAGGTAGCTGGCTCAGTGGTAGAGGACTTGCTAAGCATGTGTGAGCCCTGGACTCAATCCCCACTGCCACCAAAAAGAAAACAGTACTGTACTGATTCTCAAACACACCTGAATCCATACTTCATTTCACATTTTAAACCAGATTAACCACAAAACAAATATTTTTAAATACTATAAAAACACTTCAAGGGACTAGAGAGATGGCTCAGTGGTAAAGAGCTCTTGAAGAGGACCTGGGTTCAATTCCCAGCACCCAGTGGCTAACAACCATCTGTAACTCCAGTTCCAGAGGATCTGACGCCCTCTTCTGGTTTCCACAGGCACTACATGCGAAGGTGCACTTACATACATGCAGGCAAAATACTCATACACATCAAATTAACATAAATAATTTTTAAACTGTAAGAAATCTTTTCCTTTGAAATATATATACATATATATATATATATATATATATATATATATATACTAGGCCAGGGAGCAAACCAGTAGGCAGTGTTCCTCCATGGTCTGTGCTTCAGTTTCTGCCTCCAGGCTCCTGTCCTGCTTGAGTTTCTGCCTTGGCTTCTCTTAATGATGGACTTAATAATAACAAATAAAATAAAAAGAGACTAGAATCAACCTTGGGGAAACATTTTCCTTTTAAAAACCAGCCTGGGAAAAGACCTTCTAACAAAAGTCATGAAAGGAAACACAGAGAAATCACGGCAGGATGGAGGTCAAACGGCCCATCAGGGGAAACATAAGCTCTCATGACATACAGAGATCTAGTTCCATCATATGCAAACAACTCCTACATATCAATATAGATGAATAAAAACTACCCTATGGAGAAAGCATTATCAAGATGTGTAGACTAGTCAGAGGAAAAACAAATGGTATGACAGAGAAAGATGCTGAACTTCAGTCATTTGAAATGAAAACTACATTGGGATCCTATTTCCACTGCCATGTCGAAGCCGCAGCCTGATGCCTGTGGTGAGATGTGGAGCAGGCCTCTGTATGGAGCCGTGGCATGTCCCTGGGTTGAACTACAGAGCTGTCAGCCCACGTCTACCAGAGACGAAAAACGCACAGCATACCTTGACTACTTCCACTTCCAGAAATTTACCTTGCATTATATTCACAAAGCAGGGTTTACTGCTGCATTGCTTATCCAAGTAACAGGTTTCAGTGGCGGGCTGGCCAAATAAATTATGGTTCATCCTTGCCAGAGAAAAGGACATGACAAGAGAACGAGGAAGCTCTTTAGAAGCTGACACACAATATATATGTATGACCAAATGAAAAAGTGAGGTGCTGGACTGTCAGATGTACGAGCATACACACACAGCCCCTGGGCTTGGGCATATAAAACATCTGGGGGCACAGAACTGGACGGCAGCTATCTGAGAGAGAAGGGGCTTTGATCGCTGCACCATCTCCTTCCTTTTAAATGTTGCACAAGCATGTTACTTTTGTCTACAGATAAATAAATTCTGGAAGAGGAAAATGCAACCGAGTAAAACAGCTGCTTCAGCATGAAGAACTGAGGCGGCACCATGCTGCCTGGGAGACCCATGCCCATCCCTATTTTTCATGACTGGGTCTCACTATGGAGTCCAGACTAGCCTCAAGTTCCTTCTGCCTCAGCCTCCTGAATGCTAGGATTACAGGCACACCACCATGCCCAGCTCCGGAACACAGACTTAAAGGGTGGGCTCCCTGGGGAATGAATGCATTTCTATGGTACCCCCTGCCCTATAAAGGACTAAGGAGCAGAAAGCAAGCAGGAAGGAAGTGGCGGGGGGTGATAAGGGGACAGGAGGTGGTGGAGGGGGTCTCACTCACACTTGCGCAGGTCCAGGCTCTTGCTGGGGCAGGTTAGGTGTTGGCCCGGTGGGTTCTGGGTCCTCTGCAGACAGGCCAGCATGGCTAAGCTGGGAGCCCTGGGTAGGGCACGTTGCACAGTAGGGTCCCTGTGAGGAGGAAGATGAGGCTGGTCACTGAAAACTGCTCGACACAGCCTCCCACCCTCCCTACCACCCCAAGGATTATCAGAGATCATCTATTGAGACAGGTCTCTTTCTGTAGCCCAGGCTGGCCTGGATCTTAAGAGTCCTATGTACTGGGATCACATCAGACATTCAGAGCAGACACTCCATCTCCCTCATCTGACAGATGGGAAAACTGAGGCATCCAGAGGCTCACTAAAGGCATCATGGGAAGAAAATGAATCGTCTCCAGGGAAGACCGTCCACCAAAACAGGGCCAGATCCGATGTGCCTTATGTACATGTGGCTATCTCAGTGTGTGGGTCACCTCCAGGACTACTGTGACATTCCCAGGTATATCAGATCCTCACCCCTGTGTTCCAATTTAAGCTGTCCTTTGACTGGTGATGGACCCCAGCTCATTTGTACTTCCATAACTGATCAGTCACTAGCTCAGGGGGAGCCTATTTGGTCATCTTTGTCCATACAGAAGTGGCCAGAAAAGGCTAGTGGGTAGTGCCCCTATCCACAGAAGTGCTGGTCTAGCTCCTGACTAGGGTGTTCTCACAACACCCCAGGAACAGAGATGTCAGCACAGGAGTACCAGGATAGTGTCACAGGGAGGCGGAGGGGTGCTCCATCTCTGAGCTCATCCCATGCTGTATTTGCCTATCTTAGCCTAGATGCCTGGGAGTCACAGGAAACCCACAAGCACGTGTCCTCACAAAGCCCATCTTCCAGCATTCCTGAGGGCCCAGAGCACCTGGGCATGGGGTCAGGATGAGCTTTGTTGGAGGCCCCATGGGAGGCAGGGATGTCCCAGCCAGGCTGGCTCTTCCTCTTGCCCTGCCACAGAGAAGGGCTCAACCATGGACACCCTGAGGTCCCCCCCACCCCTTACCTTACCCATCCCTGTGCCCAGTAGCCAGCCTGCGTTACCTCCACCCTGTGTTGGTTGGAACGGAGAAAAGGGGTGTGTTTAAGGGGAAGAGAGGGAAGGTATTTAATACTAAACAGGTGTCTGGAGCCCTAAATTCTGCTGCTTTCTTCTGATAATGAAGTATTCATGAGAAAAAGCCTTTTTTCACCACTTTCTTAAGATACTAATTTCACAACAAGCTCCTTGTTATGGTGCAATTATTCCAATCTTGTATTCCCCGAGACGGTGGCAGGCTCTCGTCTGTCCTGGCCTCTCGGTAAATGAAAGACAATCACGTAACCACCTTTCATTATACTCTATTTTACTTTCAGCAAAGGTACCCTGAGAGAAACGATTTCCTCTGAAAGGGACTTTTATTCAGTTTCAAAACCAATTTTCTCCTATTACTGTCTCTCTCTCTCTAAAAACAAAAAAAAAAGAAAAGAAAAAGAAAAGAAGAAAAAAGAGGGGAAGTGGGGGATAGCATGGGGGGAGGGGATAGTGAGGGGGGCAGGGTGCTCCTCCCCTCCCCCAGTCTCGGGTAGTCTTAACACAGCAATAAAAGCTGCAGTGCCACTTCCCTGCGCTGATTTCTGGTAATTTTAAAATATGCCATTACAATCAGGCAGAAATGACACCATTTAAGAAGGGAGTGAAGTAGGGCTTACTGCAGGAAGGAAAGTCCTTGACTGCAGAAAGCAGTAAGGCTCTTCAGGGACTTGGGACGTGAGCAGGTGGCAGGAGCAGCCTGCTGGGGCTACCACTACCACACTCCTGGACTCTGGCCTTGAGGCCACACTCCACCCCATTCAGACACACTGAGCTGGGTGTCCACACTCTCTGTAGGTGCACGCTCATGTACACAGGATGTATGTTTTGTGACAGACTCCATCTCTATGCATGGGGCCCTCTAGTACACATGTAGGCAGTCCACTGTCATGCACACCTGGTGCACATCTGGGAGGTAAAAGGCTGATGGCTCCTGCCTTGACCTTGCAGGCCTCTCTCCATCTGCACTGTGACAGCATCTACCTCTTGCCACCCAAACACAGAAAGCCAGTCATGCCTTCCCCTCCACAGGTAGGATAATAACCCAGAAAAGGCAGCATTTGGGGACCCCACAGGCTGCCTGGCCTGTCTGTGTCCCATAGGCTTGACAATGCTGGATGGAAGGAGGGAGGCCAGAGTTCTGGTGCACAGACAAACCCTGGGCTGGAGCCTGGGGTCTCCCATACTCCCCACACTGGCTGGGTAGTGCTCGCTGGCCTGTAAAGCTTCTTCCTGACCCTGCCTCCAGCCTCTCATCAGGCACAGAAGCCAAAATTTCAGCCTCATTCAGGATGATGAGCTCCCAGCACACTTGCAGCTAAAAAAAGGGCCATATGGGCTCAGGCTATGGGATAAGGGCAACCTGCCAGCTCTAGAGCCCCTTCTCTATCAACAGCTTCTGCCAGGGGCTCTGGCCTCCAGACTGAGGATGTCTGAGTAGTCTGCAGTCAAGAGGACCAGGGACTAAGCAGTTTCTTAGGCAGTTGCCAAGATCACCTGATTCTCATCTCTGGAGGACAGCAGGTTGAACTCTGGCAGCCTTGAAGACCAGCTTCACTTGGGGGGGGGGCTTTCCCTAGTTCCCCAGTTCAGTGCCCTGTGACCTGCTGGAGGGAGGGTGGGTAGTAGGAGGTCTCAGATCAGGCAACCAGCCAAGCACCATGGGGAGTGGAGCACCACCCCCAGGTCCCCTATTACCCTAACACCTTGCCCTTCAAACTTCTTCAAACACAGCCAACCTTCTCTGCCAGGCCCATGAGGCCCAGCTGTCCACTGCCCTCTCTCACAGCTCCCTCAAGGTGCTCCCCTTTCAGCTAGCTGCCTCATACCTCCAGACCACAGCACCCATGTGCCCTCTGCCTACAGCACTGCCACCTGGTCCATGTTAATTCAGGGCTGTCTTCAGATGGCTCACATGACCTCTCCTCTAGGTGACCCTCACCACAGCCCCAATCACACTAGGTTGTAACTGCCAATTTTCATGTCTGTCTCTCTCTGCTGGACCACAAGTTTCTGAAGGGTAAAGACTATGTCTTACTTGTTTCTCTCTCCTCATTGCCTGGCCAGGAATAATCATTTAATAAGTAGGTATTGAATGAATGGCTACATCAATACATTGGTTGTCAGACAAAGTTCATGAGGCCCAGAGAAGCCAAGGTTCCTGCACAGTGTCAAACAGCAAGCTATGGACAAGACTGAGCAGTCACCTGTGATTCCCAGACTGCCTCTTCTTTGTCTGGCCCCATCCCATCCTCACAAAGCAGGTCCACTCCTCCACCCAGCTAGAGACCATCTGGAGAGCCACTCTATCTGCAAATCAGACTGTTTATAAGCTCAAGGTCTTTTGTGACTTTAATAATAAAGGGGGGTGGGGTGGGATGGAAAAAATGTCACAAGCCTCAATGATTAGGCTGCTCTGGCACCGTCCCTGACATGGGGGCTGATAAGGCTGCCTTATCTGGGAGCCGCCCGAGGAAAAGGTCCCTTCTACCAGATAACACCCCCAGCTGTCGATGTGCCCTTTCATAGCTGGACATTCAGATAAGGAAATGTGACAGGGGAGGGAAGAAGGGAAGAAACTTTCCAGCTGAGGAGGAATTGAGTCTGCTGCATGCGGGGTGGTACAATGAGCAAAGGCTGTTGAGGGCTGTCTTTATTTTATTCAAAGAACAGAGTTGGAGCTTTTGGCCCTGCTGCCTTCTGTCATCTCTCCCCCATGTCTGACTGCAGGGGCAACAGGGAGACCCCAGAGGTGGAAGGTGAAGCTTGGAAACAGCAGGGGCACTAAGAACAGCAGGTAGTGTTTGCAGACTGTGCAAACCCTCTGCATCTAGTTCTGAGTGCATCCTGTCTCTCAACCTAACCACAGCCTGGCTGCCTTGGCTGGATGGAGTCTGGTTGTAACTTCATTTCACACATTAGGAAATGGGAACAGAGAAGGGAGCAATTAGTACAAGGTCACACAGATTTTAAGTGACAGAGCATAAGGGTGTCAGACCCTGGACCTACCTCAGGCTACTGTATGGCAATTCCACCATGGTAGGGGTCCCATCAACACCCAGCTCCAGTCAAACAGACAGCAAGGAACCTGATTCTCCCCAGATACCCCAGTGCCCTGATCCACTTGGATTCTATTCTGGGACGAGATGGGAAGAGAGGGGAGGACCAGAAAGAGGGCAGTGGCGCCTTGGAGGCCATTCATTCATTCTATAATGACTCGATAGAGCACCGTGTGTGAGCTGGGCAGTAGGCGAAACAAGAGAAGATAAGCAAAGCCTGGTTCTTGCCATACATAAGCATCATCCATCCTAAACTGCCACCTGGCCAAATCTAGCCCGAGCTGAAAACAGACCATCCTGGGCTATTTTTCCCCCAGCAGATGCCTACGGTAGCAGGTGGGGAAATGTGCCCACCTGCCTCAGTTTCCCCACCTGCCTCAGGGGGGGTCTGTCACTGGAGCAAAGCCTCTCTGGCAGGACAATGCTGTGACCCTGTGAAGGTCACTGCCTGTGCCACTTCCAGTCTCCATCCTCCCCTTCATCTACAACTACTATTTTTTTTACTTATTTTATTTTACTTATTTATTTATTTATTTATTTATTTTCTTTCTGTCTTTTTGAAGCAGGGTCTCCCTGTAGCCCCAGCTGTCTTGGAACACACTATGTAGACCAGGCTGGCCTTGAACTCACAGAGATCCACCTGCCTCTGCCTCCCAAGTGCTGGGACTACAGGAGTGCGCCACCACGCCCGGCTCATCTACAGCTACTTAAGCAGGCCTCTGTGGCTCTGCTCAAGGCCAAAGACTGGCTTTGGCTTGCAGAGGAAGGTCACATCAGGCTTTTCTTGGAGTCTGACAGGGTAAGGAGAGAAGAAAGCTAGTCGCAGGGTCCATGGTGGCAGCAGCCAGGCAAGGGCCAGGCATTGGGTTCTGGGTATCGAGGATGTCACAGTACCTCTCTTGAGTCTGTTTTCCTAGCTGAACCTTGATGGGGACAGAGCCTGATGATGAGGGCCATTT